TTAATTGTGTTTTCGTGTTGAGATTTGTAGGATTCGACTTCGTTTATAAAGTTTGAATTATTATTGTCATTAGCATTATGGATTTGTTCAACATGGCAATCAATGTTAAAGCCTGGGTTTTTTACAGAATTTATAACTGAATGAATATTTTCATTATTTTGCGATTCAAATTCTTCTAGATTTTCGCTGTGATATTTAAAAATTGATATATCTGTTTTTTCACGATTACTGGTTTCGTTTTGGTCTAAAACTGCTTTATTTTTGTTTTCATCAAAATAATTTTTAATTAGAAAACTTGATTGAAAATCACACTGAAAAGGCAACTGAGTATTGTTTGATGATTTTGTATTTGTGTCAGATGTGTTATTTGACTCAACTGTATTTATCTCGCGAGCTCTAATTTGATCATTTATTCTTTCGTCAAAACATTTATCAACAATATCTTCATGGAAAGATTTGTTAGATTCGTTATTACAATGTATATCAAATCCAAACGACGTTTCAAATTCATCAAAAGTATCTCGATATTTCTGATCATCTGTTTTCGTACTTTCTAAACAATTAAGGAAATCATTCGAGTTAATTTTATCATTTTCGATGATATCAATTTTATTAGTGACTAAATTACGATTTATATTTTCTGGCAACATCATGGTTTTATCTTGATAATTTTCGCTCATGTTTGATTTCGGTAATGTATTGCGATTTTCGGGAGTACTCTTAAGTTGCGTGATTTCTACATCACACTCAACAACTGCACAAGACGAACTATTTGAGTTCCCTTTTAATACAAACTTTTCAGACCAAACATCAAATTGATTTAATTGTACACTATTATACTTAGATTTTAAATCTGTAACGTTGAATGTGTTTGTAGGATGTTCTTTTGAATTGTTTTCAGTTTTAYTAGTTACAACACTATTATTGTCAACAAATGCATTATCGTATTTTAGCTTCTGTTTTATGACTGTATATATTTGACTTGGGTCTCGTAGAGTAGGTTTAACAATATTGAGTTTGGAAGGCGCTGAAACAGGCGCTAAAGGCTCTTTTTCTTTAAAACTTGGGAGACCAACAAAATCAAGTTTATTCTGATCATTCTTATAATTTAACGTATCATTTAAAGTTGTGATACATTTAGTTTCATTTAGATGCTCAAAAATCGAACCATCAGCCCGGTGTTCATTGTCATCCTTTTTAAATTGCAAATACTCTTGCGGTTCATTTATGACTGGCAACTCAAACCCATCACTGAAATCAGGTATTCGATTATTCAAATTAAAAACATCTCGTGATGGTCGGTCAGAAGGTAATATATCATTTGATYTTGAAAATGGGGGAATATCTTTAACAATCGATGTATTATCAGTATCATTATTTTCAATTGAGTTATTATTTTTTGCCGGCTCTTCCAAAGGATTCATTTGGTTTGGAAATAGATGGTGGTGGGAATTAGCATTTGGAGGCAAATCCATCATTTTTTTACCAGGATAATTTTCATAACTTTCAATAAAACTCCATCCATCAAAAAACGAATCATGATGAGAATTAGGTTTACTATTTACAGTTAAGTCCACGCACGGTACATTATCTTTCCAGCGAGTTGAAATATTTTTATCGGAATTCATACCATCTAAAATATTATAATTATTCCGGTCATATAAACAAGACG